ATACCCTGTTCCAGAGTAGAATCGCTGAAAACCATACCCTGTTTGGCGGCACGTACCCGTATAGCGAATATAGGGGAGTACCCCCCGGGATTTGTGAGTAAAGCAAGGGCGCCAGGACAGACGGATTGGGTTTTAAATATGTGTGATTGTTTCAGTTATTCGTAGATTTCTAAGTAAGTCTATTTTACTGTACTGAAGGTAAATTTGATTAACTTATTAAAGGTGAGTAATCGCTAACGAAGCGGCGCCGGCGCTGCTTGGCACGGATAGTGCAGCGGTAAATACTCAGAGCGTACAGCCGATTCAAACCAGAAAGACTGTTGGTTGGAAAGGACGTTTATTCATAAAGATAAGTGAACACTATTTAGTATCCATTTAGAAACTAACATATATCAATTCAATTGGAAATCTACGAGTAACTGAAACAATCACACATATTTAAAACCCAATCCGTCTGTCCTGGCGCCCTTGAGTAAACTTGCTGGAAAAGCGAGTGAAAAATTTACTTCCGGCACCCATGACCACTTGCGACCTTACCGGAAGTTACTATCTGAGCTGCCACGTATTTTGTAAAATAGAAGCCGGTGTAGAATGACTTAGAAGATGTTATATTAAAAGGATAAATTACCCTCAAACAGGGCTTTATTTTACTCCTCAGACACCATGTTACCCTTCTCCAGTAAAGACAGCTACAGAGACGACGAATTCAAGCCATCGATCCGTATAAAATCCCGCATTATAGAATGGATAAAGTAAGAGTTGATGAAACGTTTTTTTGATCTTCTCATCTAAATTGAATATCTTATTATCATTTTCTGTATTTTTAGAGCTATACTTTCAAGTCAAAGCTCCAGGAATCTATTCTTCTTCTTGCTACTCAACCTATCGTTTGCTTTTGTTGAACTAGCGTACGGAATATGGACAAACAGGTTAGAAAATCATCAATCGAATCATTATAACTCACAGCTCAAAATATACCTAATTTTTTATCTTTTTTTTCAGTCTTGGCCTCATATCTGATTCCTTCCACATGTTTTTTGATTGTACTGCTCTTTTAGCTGGTCTTATAGCATCTGTTATATCCCGATGGGGTAAAAATGAACGATTTTCATATGGGTGAGTTTACTTCTTCAGGATATACATTGTACATGACTGTATATATGTCTCTTTACCTCAGCCACGTGGAAATTAAACCAGTTATGTATATATTGCTCTTACAATCTTATAACCTTACTGAGCACGAATAACGTTTTATGTTCAATGCTAAAGTTTCATACTACATTGAACAATAATAATAACATTAGACTTGTTTGAATCAGCTGTCCAGGTGATACGAAAATCATTAACAGTCCAAACAGAAATCAAACTTGTTTGAATATATCCCTCATCTCGATATCTTAGATTATAATGTTTCTACTTAAGAGCAGTACTGTTCAATGCAGGTGGTTGGTGTAACTTGGCAACGATTTAGTGTGTCTACAAAAATGCAACCATTGTTTCTATTTCGAGTTGATTGAACTTTAGATTTTTACCTATGAAGGATACATATAGATATAGAAATTGCCTAAATGGAAATGGAGGAGCGATTATAGAATACCCGTCCATTTTTTAAGGCATGCAAGGAAAATATTATGGAACCCGCAGTCCGAAGTGAGATGTAAGCTACATGTATAAAACGAAGTGAAACCGCGGTATATGGAATATGGACCACGGTTACAACAATTGTGTTGTTTCTCTGCAAATGGGCTTCTTGTGGTGGTCTTACTTCGGATCGCGGACCGYGGTTACATTACAACGTACTATTCATTGAATTAACAATTTATCTACAAGTCTAGTRTTCTTTTGTTATGGATTACTTGTGGTTATTGACTGCGGACTGCGGGCCATGTAACCGTAGTGTAAGCTTCAAGAGTGAACGGGTATTCTATAATCTAGCCTAAAAGGATTAAGATAATAGGAAATAACCAATAAACTTTCTGTTAATTATCATTTTCTCGTAGATATGGTAGGGCAGAGGTTATGGCAGGATTTGTCAATGGACTTTTTCTAATATTTGTAGCATTCTTTATATTCTCTGAAGCTGTGGAGGTAAGTTAAGTTAACAAATCAAATAAAACACTGGGCATGTGAATCAAGTAATATTTATAACTGGAATTGCTGGTTTTCAATTAGCTTATAAAAGCCTGTATCCACATTCATTTGTCTTCTAATGCACAACTATAACACAAAAGAAGGATTCTCTAGGAGCGACATGTGATAGATAAATGAAAACCTTTACTTATCCATGGTAAGGCTGCATTCATAATGTATGGCAGAGGGGATGCAGGTGAAAATGAGGGGGGGGGGGTCGGGAAAATTTTGGTAGGAAAAAGAGGGGATGGACCAATTTTCATCACAAAAATGGGGGGATGTAAAATTGTTGGAAGAAGCTACAAGCCTTGCTTAGGGGGGATTGTATTTTTTGCATGACRTTAAGGGGGGTGTTAAGAATTAYTCTGGAAATTTCAAATTTTTACCTGCCCCCCCTCCCCCTGCCATACATTATGAACGCAGCCTAATCCCTTCATTGACTCTATAGGGACGTAGACCTAGGGTCTGYAATGAAAAAGAAAAATCATGTTATTTTTCTGTCATCTCCAGCGAGCTCTACATCCTCCAGAGGTGAAGCATGAGCGTCTCTTTATAATTTCTGTCTTAGGACTTTTCGTCAACCTGATTGGAATCTTTGTATTTCAGCATGGACAAGGAGGTATGTACGTTTCCATAGTCACATGAAGTTTCCATAGTAACTTGAATGAGTTTCCATAGTAACTTGAATGAAGTTACATAGTAACATGATTAAGTTTCCATTGTAACCTGATTTTCCTGAAGGAACAAATTTCTTACCACTGCAAAAAACTCAATATATCAGTACATTATGAAAAAATATAGAATTGTAAATTTATTTTATGTTGATTATGCATGGAGTCCATTTTTGCAGACGGAGGAAAACAGTAAAACTGTGGTCATATTATTATTATTATTATCATCATCATTATTATTATATTGGTGAGAAGCAGCAGCACATTAGCAGTGCACGCAACCTACTGTATGCTTTTCATTAGGCCATGCTGTCTGCCCCATGGCCATTTCAATGCTGGTAGWAGGTAGTAGTCGAACTGTGATTGCTTCAAAGAATGTTGTTAGTTCCATACCTTGCATAAGCAGTGCAGTTTGTTGTGCCGTTTTGCAGTCATACATGTAGTGGAAATATCTACTGTGAATGCTGTACAGTACTAGCTAAATGTACGTACGATGAAATCAAATCAAAATATTTTTATTCTAAAGATCATGGTCACTCTCATGGCGGACATGGACATAGCCATGGCGGACATGGACATAGTCATGGCGGGCATGGACATAGTCATGGCCATTCTGAAGACAGTCACGCACATAATGGTCATGGACACAGCCATGGAGAAGGTAAGGGATTATGCCAATCATGCATACAGGAGACACACGCACAAACATCTAATGACTATGGACACTAACATGGTGCTCATGGACACAGTCATGGAGAAGGGATTATGGTAATCATGCATTCAGGAGACACACRCACACACATCTAGTGACCATGGACACTAACATGGTGCTCATGGACAACCATGGAGAACATAAGGGATTATGCCAATCATGCACACACATCTAATTACTATGGACACTAACATGGTGCTCATAGACACAGCCATATAATGTAACAAAGCACAGTTCTCAACCAATCAGGGGTGTGCATAGTGACGTTACTATTTTATAATAGAATGTAATAGGTGTTCTTTCTCTCTCAACAGCTCCAAATAACCCTGTCTCCTCTGCTAAGATCATGGAAGGTATATATATATATATATATATATAATATATCCACATGCTGTACAATCTTAAAAGGTTCTTTTAAAATTGTTCTCCAGTAGGTTTTGGTGGACGTCAATCAAAGTGCTTACATTAATGTCATGGAAACATCTTGATTGACATCTATCAATAATGATTTTGTCATTGCAGCAAAATGTTCAATAAGCCTGAAGAGAAATGATGTTTTACCCCCGTCTCTAGACCATAATCTTTTTCACACTGCTTTTGTTCTTTAATTATGACTATTGTTCCTGTATTCTCTAAGGAATCAAAAATTTTAATATGAAAGAATTTTAAAAACTATTATGGTATAGAGTCGGGGGTAAAACGTCATCTCGCTTCAGGCTTATTCTACGCATTTTACTAAGAACAAAAGTAAATATGAATGAACAATACATGTAGGGATTAGAATGAATAGATGAATGAGATTTATTCTTCATCATATTATCTTCCAGGAGTATTTCTTCATGTTCTTGCCGATACTCTCGGCAGCGTAGGAGTCATTATCTCTGCTATCTTAATCCACCAGTTTGGTAAGTCTCCCATACCTCCTAGTAAAAAAATATCTTCTGAATCAAGTACTCCAGTTTTGAGTTCTCTTTGCTCAGTCTCGGTTGTGTTTTATAATATTCAGCTATTTAACCAAAACCCATGGCATTTTAATCAACACATATTGTTACGTAGTAGGAACATTCCTTACTATATAATGGACATTAACTAAAGAAAATAACACATTTGTACACAATTGAGGCTGAGACTGAGCAAATATAAAGGTGAACTCAAAATGGGAGTATTATCCTTGTTTAGTTAGCAAGAGTACAGTGCAGCTCTTATTAGCCAGTTTCTAAAATACCTGTGGCCATTGTCYCTTGATTGAATATTGGAATTTAGAGTTCAGTGGTTGAAAACTCCAAAGAAAAAAACGCATTGCATTTCACTATGGGTATAATATGGCCTGCAGATCAGAAAATAGTGGCCATTGTACCTTGAACGAATTGGAATTTAGAGTTCRAGGGTTGAAAACTCCCAGGAAAAAAAGGCTTTGCATTTCACTATAAGTATAATATGACCTGCAGATCAGAAAACGGTGAAAGACTCCACTATCAAAGGTTTGATGTGGGAAACATTGCACGCAGACAAAAAAAAAGTCTGTTGTTCACAAAACATTGAAATTAAACACATATTGCTATACTTGCAGGTTGGATGTTGGCAGACCCTATATGTTCTATGTTCATATCTGTTTTAATAGTATTCAGGTAATAAGTTTATGTGGATTTYCCCCCCAATATATACAGCGTAGAGAGGCATGGATCAAGAAAGAGAAAGAAACAGGCGAAAAAAATTGGGAGGGAGATTATTTACCRAGGTATATTCTGTGAGCGTACTCAGTAGTTGCAAGCTACACACTGAAATTTGGTTTTTTGCTGATGTCAATCAAAAAATCAGTTGGTACATTTTATGGTTCTTGACTGGCGGCAGTACAACACCAATTTTACGACAAGCCGTTGAAATGTCCGAGTTCACAGAATATCAAAAACCACAGTAAATGAATGTTTCTCTGCTCTGTACAGTGTGATTGTTTTGAATTTCTGATGTAGAGTATGCTGTAACTTTACATTGAAATTTTTGCTTTTTTTTTTTGTAGTGTTATTCCTTTAATTAGAGATTCAACAGGGATTTTAATGCAGAGGACTCCAAAAGCATTAGAAAGTGTTTTACATATTGCTTATCAAAGGGTAAGGTTTACAATGAATTTATCATTATCATAATCACTATATATTATCATCACCATCATTATCACCATCACCATCCTCATCATCTCCATCATCATCATCATTACAATCAAAAAACTGTGGACATCTTGAAATATTCCAGGAATGTCGCTATCGTTTTTTGTCCAATCAGAATTGACTTTCTAACCATGAGATATCAAACATAACGATAACACTTCTGATCGGTTAAGAAACATTCTTGAAATATTTCTAGGTGCCCACGCCTTTTCAATTAGCACTGCAACACCATCACCACCATCATCATCATCATCACCATCCTCATCACCACTACCAATACTATCATCATCTTGTCTTATATATCAACACACTGTTTTGTTCAGGTCAATCAGATAGAGAATGTTTACAGTATTCAAGATCCACATTTCTGGACACTAGACAGGTAAATTTAAACAAAAATATAATTTTTTACAACTTTACCACTCTGAGGTTGACAGAAAGCCTTACAGGTCTAAGGACCAAATAACAAGGCAACTGATAGATCAAATTAGAATTTGAAAGCCTGATTTTTGTGGAGGGAGGGAAGACTAGAGGGGGATGAACAGCTATTGTTTTGAAACTTGTCGGGGTACCATTGTTATTCTTTTCGTGTCCTTTGGGATACTCATGAATTACATAAAACAAAAACAAAAGAAAATGAATCCTCTGGAGATTTGCCAAGCTGAATTGGGTAAGGTGTATTGTATGATCAAACCACTTATACGAAACTAAGAACTGTCTTAAATTGAAYATTCTTCTTACACAGTAAGCTGTGCATGTTTAACAATAACTACTTATTATCCTTAGTGAAAATTTCATTGGGACATTACGTGTGCTCATAGCACCGAATTCTGACATTCACAAGATCCTTAGTTCCACTCATCATATCTTCAACGAGGTAAGGAATGATAGCTGCCATGGTAACCATGACGATAGATGATGATGCATGTTGACAAATTTGATGGTGGCAACAAAGATGATTATGACTTTGAAGGGACAAGTGGTGGCGATTTATGATGAAGATCATGCATGATGATGTTAGTGATGGCGGTAAGAAATGGTAATGCCCCATAATGGTGATGATAGTGATGATAGTGATGATGGTAAATGATTATGGCAATGATGATGCTGGTGATGGATATACATGAAAATGATGATGTAAAATAGTCATGTATAAAGTATTGATGCTATGCACGATGATGATGATGGTGCATGATGATAATGACAGAATTTGACATCTCTCATATATTTCCATCCTTACAGATTGGTGTTAAACATCTTTACGTGCAAATCGAGCATTCCTACTAAAGCCAACCGCATCAATTTCTCCTCTTGAACTCGAATACCTTGTCTTTAAAACAAACATCATGTTTGGGGACATAAAGCAAGTAAAGACCCCAGGAAGCAAAGACCCAAACCATAACAGCCATCATCCAAGTACAGATACTGACGTGCAAATATGTCGTTTTGATGGTGCTAGTTCTGGCATATAATCGTGAAGAGTGTTAGAAGATACGCAGGAAGAAAGTTCTTTTGGCCAAGCTAAAATCCTACTCCAAAACCACCACAGTAAAACTCACTGAAAACTCATTTACAACCATAATGCATTTCTGCTCCCAACCTGATTTTAAATTTTATGGAAAAATTGCGAAATCATCGCTGTCTGCTTCGAGTTAAAAGGCAAAGTGTTTTCATTTAAAAACTACTTTTTTGGGAAACTCTTTCACAGCTATAGATTCTACTACCTAAAGTACTAGAAAGTTTCTGATTTAGTTTTTAAAAGACTTCTTTTAGGCTCTTAACGAAATCATCGTATTCTGCTTCGAGCTAAAGGGATGGGAATGCGACAGAAGTGGAAGGGGATGTTTAATTCAGTTTAGTTATTTTCTACTAAAATAATTTTATAACGATATTAAATGTGATTTCTTTATATTAATATAAATATTAAGGTTAGAGGACATGTTACTATGGAGACGAAGGGTAGGGAAGGGAGGATGGATAATGGATAACTAAAAAAATGTATGAGTAGGAGTAAAGAGGTCTCCCTCGCTGTACGAGTCTCTTTACTATAAGGACACTGCAGCCAAGACCACGTGTTTAAGGTTAACCAATCATAATGTAGATTGAAAAGAAAGCCAAATTGAGCCAATCGAGAGAAGTGAGAAAGGCAAGATTAGATATTACATTAATAAGGAATGTAAAGCAAGTTTGTAGCAACTCATATGACGGTGGAAAGCCATTTCAGTGTTTGCATCAACGTCGTACAGAATGTATGAGATAGTCATCTTAGATGGCACCAAAGTCAAACACCGTGATTGGCTGAAGCCAAAATGCTACTGATTATACTCACTTCTGATTGGCTCCAGTTTTCACTCTCCATCGTGATTGGAAGAGTGTTCCAGGTATAATAGAACAGGATTCGGACAGACAGATAACTTTACGGGATTATGTATAATATGCAACGATCAAAATATAAAAACTATGAGCTATTTAGAAAAGAGAGTGTATATTAAGATATAAAATAAATGTTAAAGCCTGTTATTTTCTGTTTATTTATCTATATTTACTTTTCCACTACTGCGCATGTGCATTGAATAGTTAGGTGAAATGCATCATGGGAATGAAGTACCACATTTCATAAGACGGCCGCTACTTTACTGCCTTGTGCTCCAGCGATTGAACCCTAGTTAGCATTTTACCGATATCCATGTTCCATAACATGTTCCATATAGACCTCTTTACCTTACCACGTGTCATTCCAAGAAGAGATAACTAGCTAAAAACTAGTGTGAGCTGCGTCGGCGTTTCTAATGAAACAGTAATGATAAAAGCGTAAATTGTACACCGTGAAAAGATGAAAAAACCTACTGACGTTTCAGACGCTAGTCCTTCGTCGGAGTAAAAGAGAAAGAGGTCAGTGGTAGAAAGGACTATTGATATACTGAGAAGAATAAAAAACGTGTCATTCCCTAGAGTATCAATTCTTTGTTTAACGGCTGTGCATAAGAAGACACATGAATATACAACTCAAAAATAGAAGTTCTCAAGAGAACGACACGTGGTATGAAATGGGAAAACATTCATTACCAAGAACAATCCAGAGTCACAAAACGGTTCATGCTTCAATTCATTATAAACTATAATAAATACGCAACGGTCCTGAATAGCTGGCTCAGAAAGAAGAGTATATTCTGTATGGCTTGTTAACGTTAAAAAACGAAGCAAAACCCACGTCCTCTCATACGCGTCCGTAGCGTTTGTGTGGGTGATACAATGCCCCGGTTGATGCTTTCTAACGGTTATATATTAGTTTAGTTTACCCTGCGAGCAGAAGTTTTTTTTCTGACCTTCAGTGGAGCTGGCTGGCCCCGACAGCCAGCTCCACGGAGGGTCAGGAAAAAAAACTCTGCTCGCAGGGTAAGTTTAGTTTGTTTCGTGGAGTAGAATAGRCCATGCTTGGCCACTTGATGAATGTGCAATACAGGCAGAGGAGAGTATACAATGGGTGATATCCTGAATGTAGAACCAAGTACCATGTAGCATCGGCATCATCATCATGTTAGCCATCATCATTATCACCATCATCTTCTTCATTAATTATCATCATCATGGCCATCATTACCTCCATCATCTTCATTAGTTACCATCATCATCATGCCAACATCACTTGATCACCATCAACACCAACACCATAATATGAGCAAATAATATCATCATCATGCTCGTACATGCCCAGTCATTGAATGTAGTACTCTGGAGTGGCTGGTGAAGAGCGATCATCATCAGAATCATTCGTGACGTCACCACTACCATCATCATCATCATCCTCCCCGTGACCCTTGCTCTTATCATCATCATCATACTTTTTACTCCTGGCAGCTAACGGAACATCCCCTTTATACTCCCACTGGTCACGTGATCTGTCTTTTCGTTGACGTCGTCGTCGCTCACGTAATATCATTCTTTCTTCACCGTCTCGCGTTGCATCATGGTCAACTGATGACGCCCTGTCCAAGCTAATGTAGGGGGTCTTGTACTGGCTCGGTCTGGAATGRCCGTTAGGACTGGCTCTAGGTCCAGGGGTTTGTTGACGCCTCGGTGATTTTCCAGCATTTGCTTTTATTTCATGGTATCTTTTATTCTGCTCCTCAATTAAACGCTTGACTTCACCTTGAATCCCGTTGCGAAGCTCTTCAATCATTTCTCTTTGCTGTACTATAATACCCTCTGTTCTCTTTCGCCATTCGCGTTCTTTCTCCAACTCTCGAACAACCGTATCAAGCTTTCGTGAAGCACTCGTTGCCCGTTCGGCGTCATTTCGGCTGCTCGTACCACTCTCCTCCTCGGTGGGGCATGGAACTAGTGCCAGGCTATTCTCAGTCGGTTCACTCACGGAAGCTTTTTCCCTCAATTTCTTCCTGACCGTCTTTCCTTTCCATTCCTTTCCCGCTTTTTTTGCATTGGTAACTCCTGTCAGCCTCTGCTTTGATTGATGCTTTTTTGAGTGACTTTCTGGTGGAATCGAGGCAGGCGGTTCAATACTCATCAAAGCCTTTTTCCCACCATTGATATCTTTCCCCTCTTCATTAAGAACCCTCAAAGTGTCCCTAAACAATAACTCTTCTTGCAACTGTGACTTGAGACTCTGACACATCCGATCAATGTCTCCTTTGCTGTCCTGCACTTTACACATTCTTTCCGCCGCCTCTTTCAACTCTAGCTCGTACCGTCTCAAATTCTCATAATGTTGAATCTCAGCGACTTTCCGTATCATAACATCAATATTTTCCTCAAGTTCTTCACGAACTTTTGAACGAATGTCCTCACTCGGTAAATTCCAAAGAGCGTGTGAACGACCTTTTTTCGAATCCATCCGCTCTTCGCCATTCCACTCTTCCGATTTTTCCAGAGTCTGCAAAGTAGACAAGTCCGAGTGCTTATTCGCTTCGTTATATTCTGCCAAAATTCTGGTGTTTTGCTTAGAAACCTTTTTCAAGGCTCGTCGGAAGGGAGCATTCCCTTCGCTAATGAAACTCTGTGGCGAGAGCCTTTCGTTCAAGCTTGAAGAATTCACCTTATCGCTCATGGTTTCTTGGTTAAAACCCTTGAAATCTCTGTCCCTTGAGCTAATTTTGCTTGCTGTTTTTGATAAGTGGTTTTCTTGGTCGTTTAGTTCGACGAAGCCATTGTCGGTTCCCATGGAAACCTTAGACATAAAACTGTCTTTCTTCGCCTTTCGCGCCATTCTTTCCTCTGGAGATAAAAAAGAATATAAATGAATCCTTCCGCTTGCTATTTCTTTATTTTTACTTTTTCATTCGTTCTTTCTATTTTTTGTTATCTTTCTTTCATTCTTTAATCTCGAAATATTAAACTTCCAAATATGATAATTCCACCTGGATTTTTTAGCATGAATATAAATGTTCTATCGCATGCAGTTCGCATTTATCGCTAAAATTAAACCTATACTTTTACAGTTATTCGTCTTTAAGACTTCTTTGAAGCTTGTTATTTATATTGTTATAGTTTAGTTTTTTTATTGAACTATTTTACGGGATATTAAATCTTGTATTGAAAAAACAAGAATGACTGCAAACTTGGTTTTCTTCTGAAAATGTTTTGAGCTAACAAAATAGATATTGGCAAATAAAGATTTAAATTTTCTATTTTATTGGTAAAGTCAATAATAGATTTTCATTTAGCGTCTAGTATTTTTGAGATAAATGATCTTAGATAAGTGACTCTGGCTTTCTTCATTAAAGCAGAACTGTCTTTCCATTTCTAATAAAATGTGACAGATGAATTGAAAACTTATAAATATTTCTTACATCGCCACAAAAAGACTAACCCTTAACAGTCTGCTGAAAATTAAGCGAATAAAAGAATAAATTATCTAGTCCTATCGTTTTAACTTCTCAGAAAAACTGATATATCTATTTTCAATTTTAAAGATAAAATCCATGCTTCATTATGATTTTCACACTTTACTATATTCGACTGTAATTTCAAATGAAGAAAATTAAAAATAGTTTTTATTTATCAAATTTAAATCTTTCGATGCAAATTTATCCTAGAGTTAGTTTTATTGTTATCCTTTGTGTTCTTTTATTTTTATTGTAAGGTTTTTAAGCGTAGAATCTACTCACTTGCGAACAGTTGTTATGAGAAAAAACAATAAATCGAAAATAGGCAAACGAATAGCGTTTATTATTAACGCGAGCAAGTTTAAACTAAAAATTTGTGCTATTATTCTTGACAATAGAACATTTTTGGGGTTAAGAATATCCTTATTCACCTGATAAAAGAGTGTAGGTCCGCTTTTCTAGAGGCGTCCAGTTTTTCTCGTAGAAAGCCCACTGTCTTAGAAGATGACTCGCACATCCTGTACAAACAACAACTCTCCCTCCACTGAAGAGATAACCGTTAGATTTTCTTCGTTGTTCTTCTAAAATCGGGAAAAATGGGCCATAATCTCGATGCTGGTAATACAATCTCTTCGTAGGGCCAGGACTTGGTAAACTACAGGCTGCACAGAGTCTTAAACGTTCTCCCATCATCTTAAACGACTTTTAAGAATATATTTACTCAATTTTTTTCTGTCTTTTGATCAAGAAGCCATTCRAGGAGTTTCACCAATACTACTTGTCTTCTAAAAATATTTCCCACTCGCTTTGAGTTTACTCGCAACAGTTGCTAAGTTCATAAGAAAAAATAAAACCAATATATATTCAAAAAAGTCGTTGCTAAACTTCATATGATTTATTAATGATTTTTGGATGTCGTAGACAATAGAAGGTACGAGATATTTCTGACAGAGCTATGGCACAGAATTGATTCAGCCCGCGGGGGGAACTCTCCATGTTCAAATAAGGTTAGACATTCAGCTGCTGTACAAGCCTAGAAATACTGAACTTCCATAGAAACGGTGTAAACAAACTTTAAAAACTGCGAGTATCCTTCAATTTTTCTCCGCTTCGTGGTAACGTCMCTTCCAGACACGAAACTCAACTTTAACTAAATTAAAGCTTCATAACTAATACGTTATACCCATTTCTTATTTGTAAGATATATTCATTAAGGCTCATTCAAGTTTCAAGCGTACAACGGAGTACAATTAATTTTTTTTAGATCAGCGAATCTTTTTTTTTTTTTTTTTTTGAATTTTAAACATTTATGCCATCCGACATTAACTTGTGTTTGAAGTGATTTTTTCTCAAAACGTCACCGCGAAAGAGTAAATGAAAGTCATGGTAATATTTTTGAGCTTCTATTCAGGCCAAGATAAAAACATATTCGAAACCTCGTCTTTCTTTCCTTCCTTCCTCCCTTTTTTCTTTTTCTTCTATCATTCCTTCCTTTAATCTTTTCTTTTTTTTCTAACTTTCTCTCTTCCATTCATTCATTCTCTCATAGTTTCTAACCTAACACACAAAACAGGTTATAAAAGAATGAAAATCAAAGAAGCTCTTGATGGTTGTCAACGTATTTTGCAGTCAAAATAGAGAAAAACGTACGTTTGTGGGGGAAAAAGTTTCACCTGTCGTTGACTTTGGAGGAGAGAGGAAGGAGATTATATCAAGATAATAATAAAACTATGAAAAAATTTCAATACAAGCAATAGAAAAACTTATAAAACTTATAACTATATTTATTAGGGACAGTACAAAGGCATCTGTCTAAAAAAGTACAGTGATATTTGTATAAAGCAGAGACCCTTCGAGACCTTATATAGTGTTTACTTAAAAAAGGGTGTCTACTGAAGAGAGGRTTGTTTTTGGGATAGACTATTAGATAATTCCGGGAGGGGGGGGTCGATATTTCTTTTCTGTAAGGAGAGCGGGTAGTACGCGATATATTTTTGAAGGTGAAGTGCTTGCTCGATACTTTTTGGGATTTGCGCAACCCCCACCACCCCTCCCCCCTCACTTATCTAATGGTCCGTCCATACAGTAAATAGAAATAAAATTTTGGGACTGTGCAACAAGCTGTCTGTTTAATGAAGGGTGTCCCGCTTAATTCTTGGTTTGCAATCAATCCCAAGAGAGCAAAATAACAAAAGAGATGTCCGCCATGTTGGAAGATACAACAAAAGAATTCATTGAAAAATCTTTTGTCAAATTCTTCTAACATGGCGGCTATGACGTCTATTGCAAACGAAGAATAGAAGTATCACTGTACTACAATTTTAACTTGAAGTTAACGCTAGTTATACGAAATACATATTTGCTAGCAAATATTCTAATATTCTATGATTTAATATTCTAATTCTTATATAAATGCTCCTAGCTATGATATTCTAAATTATTACTTAACTATCATTCAATAGTCATACATCCTATAGAGCGTTTTCGCTCACGTGAGAAGGCAGCCATAAACAATAGAAACTTTCTGCACAGTATTTGCATTAAAATAAAGTTCAATAGCGCAGCGCACTGATTCTAAAAATAGCTTGAAGATTCGGACAAACATTGCATTCTGTTTAACTGCTACGAGGATTATACGAACCGATTTTATTATATTTACTTAAAGTCACAATAATAACCCATGTAAACTAAGATCAACTGCGATCGGCTGTGAAAATCATCTGCTGAAAGTAAACTTGTAAGTTTGTTTGTCTGAATTTCGCCTTTGTCTTCGTATTGATGACGTCACGGCTGCGCTGCGCTATTCCAGGAGGATAGAAAATGTATTGTTTTGGTACCCCATAATGGCCGCTGTGACGTCACGTGAAAACGCTCTATTAACGTCTAACCCGCTATAGCCCTCATCAAAAATCTCATTACAAAAATAACTAACCCTATAATTAAAAAAGACTCTCGAATCAAACAAGATACCCAACAGACTCTCCTCACGAGTGGAGACCTTAGAGAGATGAGCTCACTACTTCACTTTCATCATTGATTACCAATACACCAGGTTCGTATTCGATGCATACGGCTGTTTTTGAAGACTACAGACTCATTTGCACAGGCTTCATTTATAAGTCAGCTATTCACAGATACCATTAAAAGTCTGTGGGATTTCAAAACATTGGTATTGTTCGACTTGCGCATTTTTTTACATTACGGATGACTTCCGCAAATRTAGTTGTAAAACAAAGCGGTATTTACCGAATAGTCCTTTCACAGTTCCCTGCGCCATCTTGAAAGGTAGCCGTGCCTTTGCATCGAAGCGAGACAAACGGTGAGCTTGCAATGATAGAGACATGCGAATAACTGTCCAAGGTGTTGAAAAAAGGTCCCTAACTTTGCATGCACACCGTTCGTCTCGCTTCGATGCAAAGGCACGGCTACCTTTCAAGATGGCGCAGGGAACTGTGAAGAGGAATATTAGAAAAGGGATTATTATTTAACGAAAGTTTGAATAAGAGGTTTATATTGTGAAAATATAAAGCCATGATATAATAGGCTATGTATCTATCACTAACTACCCTGAACGATTATAAAACACTACTTGAATGTGAATTTGAAAATGTCTAATCTACACGTCACCCTATATGCTGGCAACTATCCCTCCACCAGTCACGTGATCGTCCAACAATCACGTGGTATTGACATCTTAGGCTCATTAATTGGCGCTCTCTTTTGTTGCCATTCGTTGAACACTGAGTTTATCAGCGAGGTTGTCCTAAGAAAAAAATTTCTTTAAATTTTGTTTTTACGACAATGGAGCTCTTTACCTTGCCGTAAAGTTTTCCCATTTCAGACCACGTGCCATTCTCTTGAGAATAAGATTCTTTGTTTGAGTTGCATCCATATTCATGTG